CCAAGAGATGAAGGAGCAGATGCTAGCTGACCTGAGAAAAGGCAGAAAGGAAGAGTATCACAGCCCAGCTGGTATTGTCCTCCTCTTTGATCGCTCAGGAGGGAAGCTGACCCCAGCTATGGCGGACGTAATTGCAAAACAGAAACTGAGTGAAGTTCATCACGACAACCTCATTGCAAAAATCCGTGAAGAGTGGGACAGCTGGGACTTGAGAGAGGAAGGAGAGAACAAAGGAGATGGACGACTTGAATTTGATTCTTTCTATCACGGGTTCATGGCACCTTACTTTGGCTGCTACAGGTGTGGTAGGACTAAGAAAGGCCTGAAAGCTCTTGATATGGATAATGATGGCTTCGTTGATTGGAATGAGTTCCTAGTCTACATCAAGTGGGCTCTTCGTCAGTATCCCGACACTGAAGAACCTGACGATTTGCTGTCCATTGTATTTGAGAAGGGCCTGATGCCAGCGATGAGAGATGAGAAGATCAGGAGAGAAAGAATCGTTGACTAAACCTTGATTAGCAGGTCATTTCAGAACATGATTAGTACTTTTAGACTTTTAAAGTTCATAGTTTCATCAGTTTTAGCATAGAGATAAACTTAGGGCTAGTAACAATAATGATTTTTGATTTAGGGTTTTTTTCTTTAATAAAAATGTTGTTCCTCAATTTTATTGTGATGATATATATTGAGTTTGCACTTTGAGCACCAGTAGCAAGAATAATAATATCTCTCAGCAGCAAGCTCCACACAATTGGAGAAAGAGAGTATGAATTGCAAGTTTGCTGTAATTAAAATTGAATTGTCTAAATCTTATTAACAACATATATAATTAACATATTCACACGTTCACGCAATAGACTTTAATTTAATTCTATTATGATTTATATTTATACACAGTACAAGATCACATCCACATTTTGAAGTCTCTTCAAACTTGATGCACTTGTCTTCCTTTCATCATTTTTGGTACTCACTCCTTCTCTTATTTTCAATCAATCATTCCAGTTACTTAGTTCAAAGCTCAACCTACACCTCCTATGGATCTGACCAATCAAATGTCAATGCTTGCTGGAATCTGTTTAACAATTTCTTGTCTCAATTTAGAAATAATTGATTTTCTACGCTCCTCCATCTCTCTCTCTCTATTTCATTTTATCTCCTCTCCCTGATGTGGTTAATGGTAATAACCTCAAACTGCCCATGTCCCATGGGCAATTTGAGGTTATTACCACATCATAAAAATGAAATAGAGAGAGAGAGAGATAGAGAGAGATGGAGGAACGTAGAAAATCAATTATTTCTTAATTGAAACAAGAAATTATTAAACAGATTCCTCATAGTCCAATACATGATAGCATGATGATTATGATACATGAGTACTATCAATACATACAGTATAATGATAGTCTCAATACATGATACATAACGTCTACATTAGTTTAAGGATTACAGTACATGTATACTGCTGACTCCACTTTAGCCTTCACACTGACTCTGAAGTACAGACTATCATCTTTCAGATACTGACAGTTAGCAGTTGGGTTATACTCCAACTCTTCATGAGATATGAACCGCCTCCTCCCCCATCCTTTAGCTCTGCCCTGTTGGGATTGGATCCGTTCTTACAAGGGCCCTCAGTTGATTCATTATATTGTATGGTGATCTTCTTATGATTCTGATCCTCCAGTTGATTCAGTAGCTCAACAGTAACTTCACCTTGAAATGGCCACTCCAACGAATCGTCATATTCTCCAGCCATTAGACACACAAAGAAGGAGACATGTGTACCTTTACTGGTACCCTGTCCATTGGCAAGAACATTCAATGGCATCTTATAACCTCCTGGTGATGTGTAGAAACAAGGCCCATACCAATCCTCATTGCTGTCTTTCTTTTCTCTGTACTGGCTCAGTTTAATGACTTGATTCGTTTGACACAATACCTCAATCTTCTTCATTGCAGTATCAATCTTCTTCATTGCAGTATCAATCTTCTTCATTGCAGTATCAATCTTCTTCATTGTAGCTTCAAGATGTTCCTTCAATGCTTCATCATTGTGGCTCTCTTGTTCCTCTCTCTTAATCTTCTTATTACATCCAACAGTATTGTATTGACATGGTACGAGAGCTTTAGGGCAGGTCTCCTTGTGTGATGCTAGTGAACGTCGTGGTATCATCTCACCACAAGCTTCATTGCTGCATTGGATGGGGAGGTCAGGACACTCATCAAGATGGCTGCTGTTTATCAGTAGGTATCGACCTTTTCGCTTGCAATACTGACAATTAACAAAGTATTCAGTACAGCTACCAGTCATATGCATCTCCAGTGACCCCCTCATAACCTTCTGCCCACACTTATTAGGACAATAGACCCGTTGATACTGACAGTCAGCTTTAATATGGCTACCAATATCTCTAATAGGTCCCACCCATTGACAACCGCTATCAGAGTTAGTACAATGTATATTAAGGGACTTTATTCCTTGCTCTGCTCTCCCGTCTTTAAAGTACTTTCCTCTTAGCGGGCTTCGACAAGTTGGGCAGCTAAACCCTTGGTCCATCCCTTTCAGTGTGACCAGACAGGCCTTGAGTATATCTTATAGCAGCACGTAACCTGCTGAGGATCCCGTGCTACTAATGTACAGATACGGCATACAGTATCATCAGGAGGAATCTCAGCGAAGTCATAGCTGTAACCGCCAAACTCTCCATCAGTCGCCATTTTGTAAACAAACACCCACGAGAAGTCACGTGGCCATAGGTGTCGTCAATGACGTCATATGACTGTTACTCACGCCCCTCAAAGCATCACGTGAGAGTCTTGTGACACCAAGAAAGAGAAAGTGGGCTTGTTTCTTTCTTTGTAAGCTACT